TGAGGGACTGTGACCCTGGCCCTCTGTTTAAAAAGGTTTGTATCAAAAGCGAACCGAAGGTACGGTTGTAATGTATTTAAAAACAGAAAGTTTAAAAACTTGGCATTATACTAAATGTCCTTTGACCAGAAGCTGGCCACTTGGACCGTCTCTGGTGTTGCTATAAGAAGGTCCTCCATTGTGCATGTGGCAGGGCTCAGGCTGCATTGTAGTCAGTGGTCTGTGGTTTGCTCTTCTCCACACTCACATGTTGTGGACTCCAGTTTGTGGCCCCATTTCTTAAGGTTGGATCTGCTTCTCATGGTGCCAAGCGCGGTCTGTTCAGTGGCTTCCAAGTCGCCCCACCTTCTGTATGCCCAGGAGGGAGTCTCTCATTCGGTATCAGCCATGGGTTGAGGTTCCAGGTTTTAGCCTGCCACTTTTGGACTCTCGCTTGCTGGGGTGTTCCAGCGAGTGTCTCTGTAGATCTTAGAAAATTATTTCTTGATTTAAGTCGTTGACGTGCTGACTGATACCCAAACAAGGGAAGAGCTGGAGATGTCACTGCCTTGGTCCTTTCACTCTTGGCTGCTACTTCCCAGCGGATGTCAGGTGGTGCAATACTGGCTAGACAGTGTAATTTCTCCAGTGGTGTAGGGCGCAGACACCCCGTGATAATGCAGCATGTCTCATCAAGAGCCACATCCACTGTTTTAGTGTGGTGAGATGTATTCCACACTGGGCATGCATACTCAGCAGCAAAGTGGCAAAGTGCAAGGGCAGATGTCTTCACTGTGTCTGGGTTTGATCCCCAGGTTGTGCCAGTCAGCTTTCGTACGATATTATTTCTAGCACCCACTTTTTGCTTGATAGTCAAGCAGTGCTTCTTAAGTCAGAGCAAGGTGAGTGCCAGGTAGTTTGGTGTGCTGCAATGCTCGAATGAGATTCCAATGGGAAAGGTCTTGCAGCATTCTCTCCAGAATGAAGAAAGAACAGCCTTGGGAAGCAATCTGTGGGTTCAACCAGTCAACCAATCCCCAATCAACCTAATAGCAGTATTGACTAACCCACATCTGATAGGAAGATCTTCCTATTTCCCTCTTTCTCCCCCCCCCCCTATCCTAAAATACCCTGATCAGTATAGCAAGAACTTAGGAGTTGTAGTTCCCTCAATTATACTTGCTGGGGGGATGGATAAACTTCCCAGCTTGATATGCATTTGTTCAATTCTACGATGGGTTCACTTATCCACTGAGATGGGATTCCTAGAAAAATACCCATGAAACCCCATATAAAGACATACTCGAGTTGCTATGATATGCAATGTCCCCAGAACATTTCAAGAGTCCCTATCACTGCTGCAATTGCCTACGCCTCCCCTAATACATCTTTTATAGCTTGCATGAGAGGCAGGCGGATGTCTTGCAAACAGAAGCTGTGCCCGGAGAGAGTCATATGGATTTCCAGGTCAGAAATTCAAGGGAAATCAAACAGAATTGTAATAAAAGGAAGAGGAGGGAAAGGGGGAGGCTATGGCCGAGAGCGAGAGATCTCCAGCAATGATGCCGGCTAAGAATAGCTCTGACAGGCTGACACAGACGGAGCAGATGGGCTTTACAAAAGGAGCCGCAGCACTGAGCGCTTTCAGATCTCCCCGTGTCTTAATGGGAGCAAACGATTGGAAGATGCCCTTGGAAAGAAAGCTGGGTTGCCGGTGACCTTTTGCAAAAGCAGACCATCTTCATGGCACATGTTGAAAGAGCAGGGAACTGGGCATAGTCTTTGTATGCCCTTCACCTCATGTTGGGGTTGTTGGAGGGGACAATATTCATGTTTAAAACATCTGAGCATCCCTAAACAGATGAGCAGTACATTGCATTATCATTAACCTCTTCTGCACCTTCATCCATCTTCCACCATCTCTCTTTGACAGCCATTGTTGCAGCAACCACTTTGCACCCGGAAGGGAAAAGGATCTGCTTTGCAAGCGGCCTAAGCTTCATCCCCCTTCCTTTGAAAAGGAAAGGACTACAGCCGCCTTTAATAAAAAGGACTTCATTCAAAATGCAGGCGTGTGCTATTCACCTTCGGAACAGACAAGCATCTCGAGCTCTGAGGATTACCTAGGAGGGATTCCCACTGGAGCATTGCAGCACACCCAAATACCTGCAATTCACTCTGGACTGCGCTCTGACTTACAAGCAGCACTGCTTGACGATCAAGCAAAAAGTGGGTGTTAGAAATAATATCGACTGGCACAACCTGGGGATTACAATCAGACACAATGAAGACATCTTCCCTTGAGCTTTGCTACTCTGCTGCCAAGGATTCATTTCCAATATGTGCAATACATCTCAGTACATTAAAACAGTGGATGTGGCTCTTAATGAGACATGCCATATTATACTAGGATGTCTATTCCCTATTAATGTGCTGCAATGCTCCAGTTGGATTCCCTCCCAGATCATCCTCAGAGCTCAAGATGCTTGTCTGTTCTTAAGGTGAAAAGCACACGTCTGCATTTTAGATGGATTTGTTAACTGTTTATTGTTTATTAATTGTGCAATTGTATTAGTTTGATAACTGCTTTAGACTGTAACATTGAATTCTGCTGTCTCTTGTTGTTGTGAACCGCTGTGAGTTGCCTTCGGGCTTTGAACAGCGGTATATAAGTAAGGTAAATAAATAAATAAATAAATAAATTTGGAATCAGCTGTTTTTCCCTGTAAAAGGCAGTAAGAGCACCTCAAGCTTCAGAGAGCTCCTATTCAACCCTTTCAAAGCTCCCTGCTTGAGCGGTGATGGCACGATCGTCAGCATAAATGAAACTCTCTGTCTCTTCTGGCAGTGGCTGGTCATTTGTGTAAATGTTAGACATTGGTGGATTTATTTATTTATTTATTTATTTATTTGTCGTGTCAGGGCAACCAGTCAATTGTATTACATTTCTAACAGAACAAAGCAAACAAACAGACAAAATACAAAATTTGTGAGTTTGGTAGTTGATTAAATGTCCTTTGACCAGTATCTGGCCCCTTTGGAGTGCCTCTGGTGTTGCTGCAAGAGGGTCCTCCCTTGTGCATGTGGCAGGGCTCAGGTTGCATTGCAGCAGGTGGTCAGTGGTTTGCTCTTCTCCGCACTCGCATGTCGTGGATTCCACTTTGTGCCCCCATTTCTGAAGGTTGGCTCTGCATCTCGTGGTGCCAGAGCACAGTCTGTTCAGTGCCTTCCAAGTCGCCCAGTCTTCTGTGTGCCCAGAGGGGAGTCTCTCATTTGGTATCAGCCATTGGTTGAGGTTCTGGGTTTGAGCCTGCCACTTTTGGACTCTCACTTGCTGAGGTCTTCCAGCGAGTGTCTCTGTAGATCTTAGAAAACTATTTCTAGATTTAAGTCGTTGACGTGCTGGCTGATACCCAAACAGGGGATGAGCTGGAGATGTCTCTGCCTTGGTCCTTTCACTATTGGCTGCTACTTCCCGGCGAATGTCAGGTGGTGCAATACAGTGTAATTTCTTCAGTGGTGTAGGGCGCAGACATCCCGTGATAATGCGGCATGTCTCATTAAGAACCACATCCACTGTTTTAGTGTAGTGAGATGTGTTCCACACTGGGCATGCATACTCAGCAGCGGAGTAGCACAGCGCAAGAGCAGATGTCTTCACTGTGTCTGGTTGTGATCCCCAGGTTGTGCCAGTCAGCTGTCGTATGATATTGTTTCTAGCGCCCACTTTGTGCTTGATGTTCAGGCACTGCTTCTTGTAAGTCAGAGCATGGTCCAGAGTGACTCCTAGGTATTTGGATGTGCTGCAATGCTCCAGTGGAATTCCTTCCCAGGTGATCCTCAGAGCTCAGGATGCTTCTCTGTTCTTGAGATGAAAAGCACATGTCTGTGTTTTAGATGGATTAGGGATCAGCTGGTATTCCCTGTTGTGATGATGTGTAAATTTTATTCCTTTGGTTATGTGTAATTTAAACAGTAGTTTAGGGATGGTAAGTATGGAGGATTATGTTTTGTTCGAGATGGTGACTTGGCGTTAGCTGAGTTGCCAACAGGGGCGGAGCCAACTGCCTCTTGAGGAGGCAGCTGTTTTAAAAAGTCAGTCAGTACGCCAGTGAGCTACTGAGAGGACTGAGTCTCTAGGTGGTGATTCAGAGAATGTGTCTGTAGCCGGTGTGCTATAGGAAAGACTGAATCTCAGGGTGGGGATTCAGGGAATCAATTGGTGACCAAAGTAGTTGCAGAGAAGGACCCGGTAGTGAGAGAGCTACAGGGGGTTGTTGATTCTAAATTAAGAATCAAGGTTTGGCTGGGTTTAAGCCTGCTGTGCCTGCTGTGAAACGTTTTGAAGTCTGTGCCTGAGATTACTCATGAAACCTTTCCAATGTAACCATCAAGATTTGTGCCTCTTTTGAAGAAACAGTTAAACATGTTATACTCCTGTTAAAATAAACTTGTTACTGTTCTCCTCAAGCCTTGCCTGATACAGTTTCTCCTAAGTTGAACAGCCTGCAATAGTAAAGTCAAGCCAGGAAAGTAAACGCTACGCTATCAAATAAATAAAGCCTTCTGTAATTAACAGTCCCTTTATAAAATAGCTCCTAGGTTGATATTAATCGTTGCCTGGCTTCCCTCACAGATTAGGTGGCAGTGGGTGTTTTACCACTCGCACCTTCACATTTGGTGGCATTCGGTGGCATTAAAACGGTCTTCTTCACACCTGTAATAGGCAGTTAGAGCACCTAGAGCTTCGGAGAGCTTCTGTTCAACCATCTCAAAGCTCCCCGCTTGAGCGGTGATGGCACGATCATCAGCATAGATGGTCATGCCATTACTGTTACACACACAGACACACACACACACACACACACACATATATATATAATATAAATAACTGTATTCTCTATTAGTTTCTGACACAATACATACATATCTCTAGAAAGAGACCCAAAGTGGCTAACACTAAAAACAATACAATACGATTGAAAACTTATATTCCTTCCCCTGAAAAACCACAAAAGAAATCGAGCTTTTTTAAAGTTTTATTTCTCATCTTTTACAGTAAATCTGATACAGGCAATTAAATAATTCTGCAAATAAAAACCAAGAACAAACCCACCCACCCCCCAATCCCAACCAAAAAAAAAGGAAGTTAAAAAGCAAAGGAATCGAAAGTTAAGTTCTTCTTTCATTCATTCATACAGTGTCAGGGATTCTCAAAAGACGCAGCCTCGAAAAGGGGAGAAACTGAATCATTATTATTATTGTTGTTGTTGTTTAAAAAAATAAGAACTAGCAAGGGGAAAGTGAAGCGTCCCTGTTTGTTGTTGCCAAAGGGAATCTGCTTTGCTTTCGTTTTAGAAACCAACAAATATTGACAAGGGGAAAAGGGGAGATCCAGTAGGCAAGAATCTGGACTACAACTCCCACAATTCCTGGCCTCAGGCCCTTTCCTTTTCCCCCTCAGCTGCTTAAGCGGCTGAGGGGGAAAAGGAAGGGGCCTGAGGCCAGGAATTGTGGGAGTTGTAGTCCAAAACACTTGGAGGGCCGAGACGCACCCTTAGTGCAATGTGTCACTATAATAACAACAGATTAAAACAGCTGTACACTCAAAAAAGAACAAACAGGGCCAGAGGAGATCCTATTCAGAAACAAAAGAGGACAGGGAGGAAGTTAAACAACCCCCCCCCCTCCAAAAAAGGACAAACTGCCGCCATGACAGTTTCTCCTGTGAGGAAATCAAAATGGCCTCCTGTCTTACATGAAACAAATATATATGTCTGCCATTAAGAAGACAAAAGCCAGCTTAGATTTAGGAAACGTGGTGGTGGTGGTGATGTGTGTAGGGGACCTTTTGATTGTTCAATTCTGGCAGCCATTTTAAGCCTTTGGGAACAATGCCGCCATTTTGTGGTTCGGGATGAGTACACATTTTTAGTAATGTGCCACAGTATTGACGTCTTATGGTTGGTTAGTCATAAGCCACAGTATTTACTGGGAGAACCGGCCAGAAATTGGCTGCCATTCCTCAAGGACATGAACACACTGTCAAGAGCGGCCATTTTGTTTCATTCCCAATTAAAGAACAGCCATTTTGTATCCTGTAGTGTAATATTTCAAGACCTACACAATTTCTCCTCAGAAGTCAGACTATGGTACCAGTTTGTGGTTTGGGAGAAGCACAAAAGGTTGATAATATGCCACAGCATGCCACAAAATGGCCACCATTCCTCAACGACATCAACACACTGTCAAGAGCAGCCATTTTGTTTCTTTCCCAATTAAAGAACAGCCATTTTGTTTCCTGGAGAATAATATTTCAAAGCCTACACAAGTTCTCCTCATAAATCAGATTATGGTGTCATTTTGAGGTTTGGAAGGAGCACAAAAGGTTGATAATATGCCACACCATGCCACAAAATGGCCACCATTCCTCAAAGACATTAACACACTGACAAGAGCAGCCATTTTGTTTCTTTCCCAATTAAAGAATAGCCATTTTGTTTCCTGTAAAATATTTCAAGGCCTACACAAGTTCTCCTCATAAGTCAGATTATAGTGCCATTTTGTGTTTTGGGAGGAGCACAAAAGGTTGATAATATGCCACAAAATGGCCACCATTCCTCAAAGACATCAACACGCTAACAAGAGCAGCCATTTTGTTTCTTTCCTAATTAAAGAACAGCCATTTTGTATCATGTAGAGTAATATTTCAAGGCCTTCACAAGTTCTCCTCAGAAATCAGACTATGGTGCCCAAAAGGTTGGGCACCATAGTGCCCAAAAGGTAATATGCTACAGCAGGCCACAAAATGGCCACCATTCCTCAAAGACATCAACATGCAGACGAGAGCAGTCATTTTGTTTCCTGTAGAATAATATTTCAAGGCCTACACAAGTTCTCCTCAGAAGTCAGACTATGGTGCCATTTTGTGGTTTGGGAGGAGCACAAAAGGTTGATAATATGCCACAGCAGGCCACAAAATGTCCACCATGACTCAAAGACATCAACACACTGTCAAGAGCAGCCATTTTGTTTCTTTCCCAATTAAAGAACAGCCATTTTGTATCTTGTAGAGTAATATTTCAAGACCTACACAAGATGTCCTCATACGTCAGATTACGGTGTCATTTTGAGGTTTAGAAGGAGCACAAACTGTTTATAATATGCCACAAAATGGTCATCATTCCTCAAAGACATCAACACACTGACAAGAGCAGCCATTTTGTTTCTTTCCCAATTAAAGACCAGCCATTTTGTATCCTGTAGAATAATATTTGAAGGCCTAACCAAGTTCTCCTCAGAAGTCAGACTATGGTGCCATTTTGTGGTTTGGGAGGAGCACAAAAGGTTGAGAGTATGCCACAGCAGGCCACAAAATGGCCACCATTCCTCAAAGACATCAACACGCTAACGAGAGCAGCCATTTTGTTTCTTTCCCAATTGATGAGGAACAGACATTTTGTTTCCTGGGGAATAATATTTCACGGCCTACACATGTTCTCCTCAGAACTCAGACACTATAGCATCATTTTGTGGTTTGGGCAGAAAGAGTTGATAATAAGCTGCAGTATTTATTGACAGGCCACAAAATGGCCACCATGCCTCAAAAACATCAACACACTGAAGAGAGCGGCCATTTTGTTTCTTTTCCAATTGATGAGGGGCAGCCATTTTGTTTCCTGGAGACTAATATTTCACAGCCTACATAGGTTCTCCTCAAAAGTTAGACAATGGTGCCATTTTGTGGTTTGGGAAGAGCACAAAAGGTTAAATAACACAATTGGTGACTACAAAATGGCCGCCATTCTTCAACTCTGAGAGAGCGGCCATTTTGTTTCTTTCCCAATTAATGATGAGCTTCCTGGAGAATAATTTTTCACAGGTTCTCCTCAGAAGTCAGAAGCTTATATTCCTAAATGCAGCCCCATCCATATATATATATATATCCTTGTTAACAGAATCTTTTTTTTGACTTCTCACAAGATGGTGGCCGCAAGCATTTCGAGGCCAGAAACAAAATGGCGCCTAATGGTCAACTCCCATAATTCCATACCATTGCGCCATGGCAGTTCAAAGTGGCGTCAAACTACGTTAATTCTACCATGAAGGTGCACCCCAATCCTAGCATTCTGCAATATTTAATATGCCATCAAGTTTGTGATAAGAGATGGACGAGATACAAGAGCCATGGCAGTTTCAAAACAATGATATCGAACTGCATTAACTCTGCAGCGTAGATGCACCATTAATCCTGCTGAGAACACTTCAAATCTTCATATCTAGTTCATAATAATAATAAGTTTCCAGGCAAGAATATAAAAGATTTTTCGGAGGGGAATAAGAGAGGAAAAGGAACATGTGTTTGTGCGAAGGGCAGGAGAAAACACAAGAGGGCTCGGCGGTACCTTAATTTTTAATATATTTATAAAAAATATCTATATACATTTTATTATTATATTAGGAAATATCTCAGGAAGGGGGGATTCAGGGTCACAGATTGTGAGGTTAGAAACATGCATGGGCCAACTTGGGCCCTCCAGGTGTTTTGGACTTCAACTCCCACAATTCCTAACAGCCTACTGGCTGTTAGGAATTGTGGGAGTTGGAGTCCAAAACAACTGGAGGGAGGGCCCAAATTTGCCCACGCCTGGGTTAGAGAATGAGCCAAAGTAGCATTCCAGACGGGGAGGGAAAGATGGCAGGTCGGGTTTTGGAAGCAGCAAAGCCTTCGTATTTTAGGATGGAGAGGGAATACGGGATTGTCTAGTAGCCAAGGTTAGTGACCCAAGGACGAGGAGGAGGAAGAGGAGCAGCAGCCAAGATGGACGCCGCTGACTGCCAGGACCTCGTCTGTCATCCGTTCATCCATGCGCAGACCGGGAAATGGCCAGCGGGATCCTCGGAAGGAGAAAAGAGGGGCGCAAAAGGGACGGGGGGACGCCGAAGGACAGCAAGCAACCCCCGGCTCTCAGTCTTTATTGACCCGGATCTTGAAGGCCACGCGCCCGGCAAACTTGTCCCGCTCGTCGGTGGTGGCAATGTTGGCGGCGTTGATCTTGCACTCGATGTTGTGGTCCTCGTTGAAGGTGAGGTTGAGGAACTTGACCGCCACCACCGGCTGCGTGTAGTTGACCTGGATGAAGGGAGAGAGAAAGGCAAGCGTCAAGCAAGGCGGAGGAGAGGAAGACGTTACCATTGTCGGACCATTGTCCCACGTTTGCAGGTACGTTTGCAGTTATGGACCGTTGTCGGACCTCCCACGTTTGTAGGTTCGTTTGCAGTTATGGACTGTTGTCGGACCCCCCACCTTTGCAGGTACGTTTGCAGTTATGGACTGTTGTCGGACCCCCCACCTTTGCAGGTACGTTTGCAGTTATGGACTGTTGTCGGACCCCCCACCTTTGCAGGTACGTTTGCAGTTATGGACTGTTGTCGGACCCCCCACCTTTGCAGGTACGTTTGCAGTTATGGACTGTTGTCGGACCCCCTACCTTTGCAGGTACGTTTGCAGTTATGGACTGTTGTCGGACCCCCCACCTTTGCAGGTACGTTTGCAGTTATGGACTGTTGTCGGACCCCCCACCTTTGCAGGTACGTTTGCAGTTATGGACTGTTGTCGGACCCCCCACCTTTGCAGGTACGTTTGCAGTTATGGACCGTTGTGGGACCTCCCACATTTGCAGGTACGTTTGCAGTTATGACCGTTGTCGGACCACCCACATTTGCAGGTACGTTTGCAGTTATTGACCGTTGTCGGACTTCCCACATTTGCAGGTATGTTTGCAGTTATGGACTGTTGTCGGACCTCCCACGTTTGTAAGTATATTTGCAGGTATGTACTGTCGTCGGACCTCCCATGTTTGCAGGTATGTTCACATGTACAAGGCTATGGTCAACAATGTCCAGTTGTAGCTAACCCACAGAGTTATGCTAATGAAGCTAGAGCAGGCATATGCAAACTTTGCCTCTTCAGGTGTTTTGAACTTCAATTCGCACAATCCCTAACAGCTGGTGGTAGTAGTAGTAGTAGTAGTAGTAGTAATAATAATAATAATAATAATAATAATAATAATAGACATTTAGATTGTATTGTAGTGTTTTGAGTCTTAGCCACTTTGGGTCTCTTTTTAGAGAGATCAAGCAGGGTTAAAATACTAATAACAATAACAATAATAATAATAATAATAATAATAATAATAATAAATTGGCATTTAGATTGTATTATATTGCTTTGAGTGCTAGCCACTTTGGGCTGCTTTTAGAGAGATATAAAGCAGGGTTAAATAATAATAATAATATGCCATTTTATTTGTATTTAGTAATAATAACAGTAATAATAATAATAATATGCTGGCATTTAGACTGTATTGTCAAAGGCTTTCATGGCCGGAATCACTGGGTTGTTGTAGTTTTCGGGCTATATGGCCATGTTCTAGAGGCATTCTCTCCTGACGTTTCGCCTGCATCTATGGCAAGCATCCTCAGAGGTAGTCAGGTCTGTTGGAACTAGGAACATGGGTCAGATATACAAACTCATTTCTCTAGTTAACAGACCTCAATACCTCTGAGGATGCTTGCCATAGATGCAGGCGAAACGCCAGGAGAGAATGCCTCTAGAACATGGCCATATAGCCCGAAAAAACCTACAACAACCCATTTAGACTGTGTTGTATTGTTTTTAGTGTTAGGCACTTTGGGCCTCTTTTTAGAGATATTAAGCGGGATTAAATAATAATAATAATAATAATAATAATAATAATAATAACTATTATTATTTAATCCCGCTTATTATCTATAAAAAGAGGCCCAAAGTGGTTATTATTCCAAATTCAGTCTGACAGAGTTTTGGAGCACAATACCCCTGACCTCATGATCATAGAAAAAAAACACTGAGCAGGATTAAAATAGTAATAGTAATAATAATAATAATGACATTTAAATTGTTCAGCTTTTAGTGTTATCCACTTTGGGTCTCTTTTTAGAGAGATAAAGCGGGGTTAAAATAATAATAATATAAAATGACATCAGAAGACCAACATATCACCACTGAGATACATTGCTTTTTAATGGTCTTTGCTATTCTTTGAGGCTTAGTTTAAATCAGCTTTTAGAAGGAATTACCCAAAGAGATATGGAAGACCTACACATCTTCCCAAAAACTATAATATTTACCAGTGATAAACCAAGAATAATAACATTAAAAGTAATAGTTATAATACAATAGAACCATTATTTTACATAATATGGAAGCTAATGAAGACAAGGACTAAGAGCCCTTCCAGACAGGCCAGATATCCCAGGATCTGATCACAGGTTTTCTGTTTATCCCAGATTATCTGGCAGTGTGGACTCATATAATCCAAGTTTAAAGCGGAAAACCTGGGATCAGATCCTGGGATATACAGCCTATTTGGAAGTGCGCTTAGAATGGCAGCTATGAAAAATGTGGGCAAAATCCTAAAAGTGTGACTATATATAATTGAATACTTATTTTAGGATTGTCTATATACCATGGCGTTCCCCATTTCTATGTATTGTGTGAAAAGCTGGACATTAAGGAAAGCAAATAGGAAGTTTGCCGATTATCTTCCTAGGTGATTTCTAGGAAGACCATATTACTTACATGTACTTTTTTGCCATAATAAGGAAAGTACATGAGGTCAATGTTCCCGTTGGCAGGAAACATGGCAATCTCTCCCAATTTCTGGATATCTTCCTCTTTCTGTGAGAAGGAAAAAAAAGTGTGAAACTAGTGCTTTAATACCATATTACTTGAATCTAATGCTCAACTTTTTGGAGCTAAATGACCTGGACAAAATAAGGATGCACATTAGATCCAAGCTGAACTTGGGGCTTCTATTTGAGGGACATCATCTCCAATTTAATGGCCATGGCTCAATGCTATGGGATCCTGGGATTTGTAGTTTGCTGAGGCATCAGTATTCTTTGGCAGAGAAGACTCAAGACCTTGTAAAACTTCGATTGCATTGAACCAAGGCAATGAAAATGGATTGATTCTACAGCAATGTTTTCTTTTCCATTGCTGGAAGCTTTGCTGCTCTAACACTTTTGTTTTTAAAGAAGGAATTCTAAGGAAGCAACCACTGTAATGCACACCTTTTTTGGCCAAATTACGAAAAGTGCACATTTTGCTGCTGCGCAATGTATTCAGCAGCAAATACTTTTTTTGGTTTCAAGGTTTTGGATATTGAGGTGCGCATTAGACTCGAGTCAAAATGGTATCTCCCTGTCCCTGATCTATCTGCAGCCTTCCCACTGGACCCACAAACACTATTGGCACACTATTAATGCCCTATCAGCCATTTCCCCCTCTCTGTTCTTATTGGTACTGTCCATTTATTTATTTATTAACAGTATTTGGAGGTTCTAGCAGGGGAGCCTTTCTCAGCCAAACGGTGACTCAAGGAGGTTCCTCATCCTCATTCCTCATCCTCATCCCTACTAAGCCTTTATTTGGGTTACAACTTCCGCCATCTACTGAAGGATGGTGGGAGATGTAGTCCAAACAATTGCACCCCAATTCTGGTCCTCCCCAGCTCCATGCTTCAAAATGGGGGTCCCCTGCCCGGCCCCGTGGCCCACAGTTCTTACTATCAAGTCCTCCAGAGGGGTTTTTTTCTTCTGAAGACGGAAACGGAGAAGAGAAAGACAGACGAAACAAATCAGTCGGAGAAGAGAGGATGATGGCAGAGAGGAAACAACAGTAACATAAATATTTTTTAAAAAGTGAGTGAGAGAGATGAAGGAACAACCATGATTTCTTGTACCAGCGTGCTACCCCAAAATCAAAATTTGATACTCGTAAGAAATAAAAGGGAAACCCCCCAATTTTCATAAAATATATGAAGGTGCAGATTGGAGGTAATACAGTCAAGCCCTCCACATTTGAGGATTTCAATATTATTATTTTTTTGCAGATTTGATTAACATGCTTTATATGGCCATCGACGCTTCCAAATAATCCAGTTTCAGAATGCTACATTGAATTGGATTATATGAGTCTACACAGCCATCAAATCTAGTTCAATGAACTGAATTTGCATTCTGAAATTGCATTTATATGGCAGCCCAGATCCAGATTAAGAGTCCCTAGGTCATCTAATGTAAAATATTGCATTGGAGGACTTTGAGAGAGGCATTTGGAGATCCTTTAGAACAATCCTATTGGAAATTGACCATAAAGTTGCACTGGAGGACGTAAAGAGATCCTTAGGCCCCATCTACAGTGCCATATAATGCAATTTAACTCTCCATTCCTTGACAACAGTGAAAGTAAGGGAATGCTTTCCTCCATTTAGAGGTTGCCAAAGGTTTCAGCATGCAGTTGTTTTCCTATTTTTCTGCATGAAATATCCTTGTTCATTCAATGGGAGAGACTGAGGGAGGTCCTGACATTTGGAGGCATTAACAAGCAACATTCAAGTATCTCCGAACTGCTAACTCTGGGATTCCAAAATGGAGTTGTGCCCCCCCCCCCCCCAAATGTAGATTTTTCATACTTTTGCAAAAGGGGGAAAGGAGCATTCTCCTGCTCCATGCAAACTGATGTTAGAGGAAGCTCGGAACTGGAACGGAAATGGGTCTTGAACGCTCACAAAAGGCATAATTTTAGTGTTAATTCCAAGGGTAATTTGGCAATCTGATTCATCCCCCAGCAGCAGGTTATTCACATTCTCAGCATACAAAGAAAAGCAGCAGCAACCAACCACAGCCAAGGCGTCAGTATTTTAGAATATCCAAGGATGGACGTAAAAAGCTCTGCCTTGGTAAGGAGCTAAGGAAGTCTGCCATACAGGGATTTGCATGAAAGCTAAGTTAGATATGACTTGTTTGAAGAAGCCTATAAGTAGAAGAAAAAGGTAGGCGCTCCTAGGGGGATCAGGACCGCTAGTTCTCCCAGCTGCAAGGAGAGCAGAGCAGATTGGATTTAGGCATCTAAATAGACCACAAGCTGAACATGAGTCAACAGTGTGATGCTGCAGCTAAAAAAGCCATTATCATTTAAGGCTGCATCAATAGGAGTATTAGAGATCGAGGGAAGTCATAGTCCTGCTCTATTCTACTTTGGTTGGACCTCACCTGGAATATTATCACGTCCAGTTCTGGGCAAAGCAATTCAAGAAGGAGATGTACAAGATGGAAGATGCCCAGAGAAGGGCCATCAGTATGATTAAAGGCTTCCAGTAGAAGGGGGTTGGACTGGATGTTCCTTGGGGTCTCGCCCAACTCTATGATTCTATAAATTTACTACATTAGGAAAAACAATGGGGTCTCCTTCTCTGGGGTTTTTTAAGCAGAGGTGGATTTCCATCTGTCAGGAGGTTTAGGATAGTGTTGCCAAAGGGGGTTGGACTGGATGGCCCTTGTGGTCTCTTCCAACTCTATGATTCTATGGAGGCAAAGCTGACATCGCTATCGCTATTTCCTGAAGCAAGAAGGCAAAAAGAAGCAAGGAGTGAATTCCCCCTTGGCTTCACTTATCCGCAAAGCACTACCATCCTGGACAGTTTCTACTTCTATCCTCTACTGGTTTTTGGTGAAATGAGCCCTTACCTCGTGCTTGGCCCTGGGTCTCTGGAGGCACGCAGTGGGGTGTTTTGTTTTTTCCCCCCCAAGAGACAAGGAGGTAAACACAGCGGAGCGTTAATAACAGAATGAAGTGAGTGACAAGCGAGAAGAAGAGAGAAAGACAAAACAAAAGAGGGATAGAGGAGAAGGAGGAAGCAGGAAATCCATGGAAGGCAGGTGCCAAAGCTTTACCTTTGCGTAGCAAGTAACATTCATCGTCTTGTTGGCTCCGGCATAGAAATTGATGACCTGCAAAGACAAAATAAGGAAGAGAAAAAAAAAAGATTAATAACTTGAAAGGTCTTTTTTCATTGGAAGTGGAGACTAGGTGGCCACACCTCCCCAGAGGACTTTCCAGTGGACTTCTGCAAGAAGATTGAACTAGATGGCCTTTGGAATCCCTTCTATGCATTAACATCAGGTGTTCTGGACTTCAACTCCCACAATTCCTAAAAGCCCTGACTGAATGCTAAACTACAGAGTGGTACCTCCCTAAACTGTAGTTTAGGGAGGTACCACTCTTTGACAGAGAAGACTAAAGAACTTGTAAAATTACAACTCCCAGGACTCCATAGCCTAATCCTATTATGTGGAAAACCATCTAATTCTAGGATTTTGGAATATTTGTAAGAATCCCAGCCTGGATGAAACTCAAATATTGCAAAATGTCTGCAGGTCAGGATAAGAATCTCAAATTGACCTTCCCACAGCTCTCACTTCTGGATCAAAAATAAAGTCCGATTGGGTCAAAGACCAGCCAACTTACTTTTTTCAGACCACATTCCCCCCCCCCCCCCCCAATTCAGCACTGGAAGAAGATAGAGCCGTTTGCACAAAGAGATACAGCTGTTTCCCGGAAAGGACAAATCTGTTTGTTCTGTCTGCCTAAGGAAGATAGTGCTATTTGCTTTCCTTTGGGAAGAAAGAACACTTCTGTCTCAATGAACTATAAATCCCTAATGCCTAACCTGCTTCCCCCTACAGCCCTGAAGCCAAAAAACTGGCAGCCTCATAGAATCCTACAGCTGGAAAAGGCCCCTAAAGGCCATCCAACTCAACCTCCTTCTGCCTACCCGGTTCATTTTGACCAGGACACAAGGACGCCCGTCCCGGTAGCCATAGCTGGTGTCGTTGAGGCCCGAGCAGTCTCCCAGCATGGTGCGGTTGAACTGGCAGGCCCGCTTAGGGTAATTCGCCACTCCATTATCAGGCTGTTCATTATATTGCCCTGGGCGGCAGAACTCGTTGGTGGCCACTTGCTTCGAATTATTATAGGCTGCAAGAGGAGAGGAAAAAACCAAAGACATTGATTATCAAATGCAGTGCACAAAGTTGCCACCACTGTGGCACCAAACAAAAATATGGCTGTTTACTCAAAAGCATTGGGGTAAATCTACACTACAGAATTAATGCAGTTTGACAATTTTAACTGCCATGGCTCAATGCTATTGAGTTCTGGGAGCGGGGAATCAGCACTCTCTGTAAAACTAGTTTCCATGAATCCACAGCATCGAACCAAGTGTCAAACTGAATTGATTCTACAGTGTAAATGCACCCCTAGTTTTATACAAACCTGCCCAGGTACAGGCCAAGTATTCCCTCTTTCAAAATGCTTGGAATTGGGTTTTGGAATACCTGCATATATGTACACTAGAACTCCCAAATGACAAGGTCTATTTCCCCCAAACTCCTTCTGTGCTCACATTTGGGAATATTAAGTATTCGTGCTAAGTTTGGTTCAGATCCTTCATTCTTTAAGACCACGGTGCTCTCTGGATGAAGGTGAACTACAACTCCAAAACTCAAGGTCAATGCCCACCAAACCCTTCTAGTGTTTTCTGTTGGTTGTGGGAGTTCTGTGTGCCAAGTTTGGTTCAATCCCATCGTTGGTGGAGCTCAGAATGCTCTTTGATTGTCGGTTAACTATAAATCCCAGCAACTACCATTCCCAGATGACAAAACCAATTTTTTGAGTGATGGTCACTCCTTGGGTTAGTAGGTGTCTTGTGGCCAAATTTGGTATCAATTCGTCCAGTAGTTTTTGAGTTATGTTAATCCCACAAACGAACATTACATTTTTATTTATATAGATAATGAGATCTCTTGGAGATGGAACCCAAGCCAAAATGTGCATTTCACCTTATACACACATGCTGAAAGTTATTTTATACTCCATATTTTTAATAATTATGTGCATGAAACAACATCTGTATAGAAGGAATCACCAGAAAGCAAAGGTATCGCAATTGCAGCCACCCCATTTTTGGATTTTGGAAGGCTTTGGGATTCCAGATAAAAAGATGCTCAATCTGTGCATGGCTTTAATGTGTCTTATGAAATTCTAACTAGTTGTTGTAATGGGTCTTTTAAATGTGTTAAAAGGTTTAGTAGATGGACCCCTGGTTTACATTAATTAGGCTCAAGAGCAGGAAACGAAGGCAACCATCCTCCCCGTCTGTCCTTAAAATGGAGGGATACGCTACCCATGAGCTTGGAGGCTCCTCTGATATGGACTGCTGACCATTTCATATTCCCTGCCGACTCGCCTGATCCCCTCTGAGAGGCCTCTAAGCTTCGGACGCGGTCACCGCGTCTTCCTTCAAGCTATCAGCTCTCTAACTTAATTAACCAGCCCTATGATGAAGGGATAACAAAGGCCGGCAAAAATAATTTAAAAGGATTTGCCACTCCGCCATTGCAGGGCGAGTAAAAATAGAACAAAGCATCATCATGCTGCTTGCTGGAGATCAAACAGGTTAATTTATCTCAAGGAAAGGGAGCCTGGAAGCCTCAGGAGCCACCCTTTGAAGCCACAAAGAGCACTGGGGGCAAATGAGCCCTTTTCCCAAGCCGTTGAACAGCATGAGTCCGGAGATATATTAAGCATCACTCAAAAGAGAATTTTTAAAACCCATATTATGTCATCTTGACAACAACTTTGCAAAGAAGGTCATTGTTGAACATACAAGAGGTTGCTGAACAAGACCCTAACAGAGAAGTTGTGCTTCTATTTCTAGATGCGGATAAAGCTTTCGATAACTTTTGTTGGGAATTATAAAAATAAGTATTAGCTCGCTAAGGGATGGGCCAGCAAAGTGTTATCCTCTATATGACACACTGGGAAAGGAGGAAATATGTCTATGGGTGCTTCTACACTGAGGAGAGACTACATCAGGCATGCGCAAACTTCGGCTATCGTCTGTTAGCAATTGTAGGAGTTGAAATCCAAAACATCTGCAATTGTAGGAGTTGAAATCCAAAACATCTGTAAACAAAAACAAAACGATGCTCCTAACAAAAAACATGTCAAAATCAAAACAAGAAGAACTAGCCACAATAACAGGCTTCAAAGTCTGCTCCAAAATCAAATACCAGGGGATCTGGATAACGGCAAGGAACTCCCAACTTTTCAAAAATAATTATGAGGCAACATGGGCCAAAGTCAAAACAGACCTGACCAAATGGAGATTTCTAAACCTCTCTCTCCTTGGACGCATTGCTTTAATTAAGATGAATGTCTTGCCCAGACTCCTCTATTTGTTCCAGAACATCCCCATCATAAGAAATAACAAAGTATTCGATCAGTGGAAAAAAGATATAGGAAAGTTCGTTTGGAACGGCAAAAAAGCAAGGATCAAACACAAAATCATGATAGACAAGAAGGAAAGAGGGGGCTTTGGTCTGCCTAACCTTAAAACATACTTCGAGGCGTGTGCATTAGACTGGCTTAGAGAATGGGCCTTGCTAAAAAACGAAAAAATCTTAGAGCTAGAAGGCTTTAACTTAAGAGTTGGTTGGCATGCGTACCTTTGGTACGACAAAATTAGAGCAGAAAAGAACTTTGGCAACCATTTCGTTAGGTCAGCGCTCATAAAAGTCTGGAATAGATATAAAAGATACTTCCATACCAAGACCCCACTATGGGTCTCGCCGACAGAGGCCAGACAAAGAAGACTTCTTGGCTGGAAAAATTGGCCTAAATATAAGGATCTTCTCAAGTATAACAACAAAGATAATACCTGGAACTTGAAACTTAAAACAGAATTGGAAGGCAGTATAGGAAATATCTCATGGTTACAATACCATCAATTAAATGAATCGTATAAACAGGACTTGAAGGTAGGGTTTGAAGCCAAAGACACAATCTGGGACAAAATCTTAAAACTCGAAAAGAAAACAATAACAAAAATACACAATCAGTTGCTAGAATGGGAAACTGAGACAGAGGGAGTAAAAGAGTGTATGGTTATATGGGCTAAAAACTTCGGCAGGGAAGTCAAGATCCAGGAATGGCAAAACATCTGGAGGAAAAAAATGAAATACACCTATTCTACCTCACTAAAAGAAAACTGGTTAAAATGTTTTCACAGGTGGCATCTAACTCCGCAAAAACTAAGTCTAATGTACCGAGGATATAAAAATACCTGCTGGAAGTGTAAAAGCAAAGTAGGAAGTTACTTCCACCTATGGTGGACATGCCCTGTGGCTATGAAATTCTGGAAAGAAATAAGAGAAGAGTCACAAAAAATTCTAAAAAAGGACATTCCTCTTAAGCCAGAGATCTTTTTACTTGGCTTAACAGAAAAAGACACAAAGCTAGAACAGAATGAAGATAGAATTTTCACTTATATAACAACGGCGGCAAGACTCACATTTGCTAAAAAATGGAAAGAAGAAGGAAGACCCACGGTAGATCAGTGGCTAGAGAAGCTAAGAGACATCAAAGATATGGACAAACTGACGTTCTATCTGAAGAAAGGGTCAGGAAACCCACCATCCAAAACGAACTGGGAAATGGTGGAAGACTATGAGATGAAAAGAGAGGAAAACTGATCTGCCTCAGAGCAGTAAAAGAAATTAAGGAAAGGGGGAAAAATAATATAAAATAAATGAAACGAAAATAAAGGATCAACAAGAGTGGAACCCTGCCCCCCAAGCAAAGAGGGGGTAAGGGAGGGTCCACAAGCAACAAGTAATCGTATCTGATAGGACATAACATGGAAGTCACATGGTTTTAATTGTGTGTAACCCTTATGGAATGTATGCTTGTATTGTCAACCAGGTTGAATGAATGAATGTATGATACTTCCCAATGTGTTTATATATATGTTAACCCTTGTTCTTTTAAAATTGAAAACTCAATAAAGACGAATTTTAAAAAAAAAAACATCTGGAGGGCCGAAGTGTGCCTATGCCTGGACTACATAAACTCCAAAACTGCTTAATAAAAAGTAATAATAGCTTTGCAACTGCATGGTAGGAAAGAGCATCAGAGGAAACTGGCTACAAGCAAGTGATCTTCCTTCTCATCACAGCCTTTTCTTCTCATTGCCCTGCAATGCACCACGGATTGCCACATCTTGGCGAGAGGATTGCGGGGTCAACCTGTCTTCTTTCCTATTCACTTACCTCCCAAGAAGTTATTGAGCATCTTTACGTAACTCTCCCAGACCTCAGTGTTGGAAACATTGTAGGTGATCTCCAGAGCATCCGTCTTCGGGCGGATCATCATGCCTGGGGTAAATTGGAAGTGGCATACAAATGAGTTTCAAAAAGCTTGACAAGAGCCCATAGGAAAGAGATCTAGTTTTTACTTGACCACAAGCTAAATACGAGTCAACAGTGTGATGCAGCAGTTTAAAAAGCGAATATCTCTGATTCTACTTAAACATTAGAAAGAACTTCCTGATTGTAAGTCAATAAGTGGACTATGCTTCCTTGGAGTCCAGAGCAGTTTCCTTCTCTGGAGGATTTTAAGCAGAGGTTGGATACCCATCTGTTGGGAGGGCTCTGTGTCTTCCTACCTATGTGGACTGGGTGACACTTGGTGTCTCTACCAACTCATGATTCATCTACTTGGAAGCTTTCCTCGTTGGCCTATGTTTTCTCTGTTGCTCTTTTCAGCCTCTTTTTGCAATATAATTCCCAGCAAGGATGACAGTGACTGTTCCTGGCTGCCCAAACGTGATGATGACCAAGTCAAATGCACACAGCTCTTAACAGAATGAGCAGACAGAAGATGGGAAGAAAGTGACAGAAGGCTGGGTTGTTGTAGGTTTTTTCGGGCTATATGGCCATGGTCTAGAGGCATTCTCTCCTGACATTTTGCCTGCATCTATGGCAAGCATCCTCAGAGGTAGTGAGGTGATAGATGCGGGTGAAACGTCAGGAGAGAATGTCTCTAGACCATGGCCATATAGCTCGAAAAAACCTACAACAACCCAGTGATTCCGGCCATGAAAGCCTTCGACAATACGACAGAAGGCTGCTTTCCAAATATACTAACATCATCAAAACATGAAAGACAATCCACTGGGCTTTCGGTATCCACTGAGTTTTGGTTCCATGACACAAACATCAGTGACCCAACGGACATAAATATCTCATTATATACAATGGCATAATGAAATAGTATCCTTATATAAAATGGAAAAAATTACATATAGGATATTTTCAAGTCATTGATAGTTGCAATATGTAGATACAGGTTCTGTAGATACAGGGTCCCAAATGTATTAATAATAGCTATCATTGGGACCAGCATGGTATTGTAGGTAGTGTGTTGATTACAAACAAAGAGACCTGGGTTCAAATATCTCCTAGAAATCCATTGGATTTCACACTCTCTCAGCCTCTGGGGGAAGCAAAGGTAAACCTCATTTGACAAATCTTGCCAAGAAAACTCCATGATAGATTAAACCAGTGCTTCTCATCCTGTGGGTCCCCAGATGTTTTGGCCTTCAACTCCCAGAAATCCTAACAGCTGATAACCAGGCTGGGATTTCTGGGAGTTGTAGGCCAAAAACTCTGGGGACCCACAAGTTAAGAACCACTGGGTTAAACCTTAGAGCAGTGGTTCGCAACCTTTGGGCCTCAAGGTGTTTTGGACTTGAGCTTCCACAGTTCCCAACAGCTGATAAGTTGGTTGAGATTTCTGGGAATTGAAGTCCAAAACACCTGGAGGCCCAAAGGTTGGGAACCACTGCCTTAGAGTCACTGTAAGTCAGAAAAGACCCTTTAACAGCAAATAATAATAGGAAAAACAACAACAGCAACTCAGTCTTGGGAGTGCGGGCAGCTTGCCATAGTAAAACAAGTACACAAAGTTCTGCACCCTTACAATGTGCAAAATTAAAAAGCTGCAACACAAATAGAATTAAAAGCAATTTTAAAACATGCCAATTGGCAGCACCAGACACAAAACATTCATAATTAATCTTCCAATTCAGAGGCAGGCAAGCGCCCGAGTGCAATTCTGAGCCTGTGCCAGTCCGCAGAAAAATGCAATAAATTAACAAATCACATTACAAATGGAAGAGGCTCACATTCCTCTTCTTTCTGAGTAAGGCATTTGTTTGTATTCAAAATCGCATTATAGGTGCACCACAAATGTACAAAGGCCATTTTTTTCTGATCCCAAAGAATTCCGGGAGTTGCAGTTTGGGAGACATGAGTCTAGTGTACTAGACACTCCAATCATCCTCTCCGGGACAACAATTCCAGGGATTCCCAAAAAGAGAAAACAATGGTTTTCACTTTCTCTCCCTCTGTCAAGCTAAATAAAGTCCAGATACTGCTGTGACAGCATAGAAATATGGCAATTTTAACCAAGTGTTTTGCTCCTTTTGCTCCTGGCTAGAAAAGGATCCACTCTTGGACTACAGCCTCCAGAATCCACAGCTATCCTAGATTGGAAAGGGTTCTATTATGATACTAGATGACCCACAAAACCCTAGCAGCTATGCTTGCCTTTTGTTCAGGTCTAGGAAAGGCTAATTTCTGCAACTCCCAGAATCCCCAGCCAATCGTGGGACTATAACTGACAGAACCACCTCCTTTAATGCTACCCCTGCTCCTTTTACTCAGTTAGGCAAGTTTTATTTTTAACGACAAGATAAAAATAAAACTTGCCTAACTGAGTAAAAGGAGCAGGGGTAGCATTAAAGGAGGTGGTTCTGTCAGTTATAGTCCCACGATTGGCTGGGGATTCTGGGAGTTGCAGAAAGATAACAACAAGATACAGAATCCCCAGCTAGGAAATTTTCCTGTTTTGGAATTGTTACCCTCATAATCATCCTAGCAAATTATGGTCCTTTTGCCTAGAGATGGGAAAATCTCCTTTTTTATGGACTACAAAGCCCAGAATCCTCAACCTACATGCTCAGCCTCCTTCCTTAGGATTGCAACCCCAAGAATCCTCTTCGTGTAATGCTATCCTTCTCCTTTTGCATGTGACACGTTGGAGGATTCTGGGCTCTGTAGTCCTGTCCCCCACAAAAGAGGAAACTTTCCAATTGCTGTATTTCTGAAACAGCCCATAATCTCAGCCTGTTGTGCACATTCAATGCTCAGGGCCCCTGCACCAAGGAAGCAGAAGGAACACCAGACCCAGTGTATGTCTTCTTACAAATCCTTTGCCCCAAATGGGACTGAAAAGACATCAACGGAGTAAACCTTACCTGGGACAGAGAGGCGATCTTGATATTTGGGGATGTGGGGGTCCACAGTTTGCAGCAAGACCCACATGGTGAGGGTGAAGAGCGCCGTGAGGAAGCCGTAGAAGATGAGATAGAAGAGCAGGATCAGGGCTGCAAGGGGGAAAAGAGAAGGGGCCACATTTTAATGGTATCAAAGCTATCTGTGTGTGTGTGTGTGTGTGTATGTGTGTATATGCAACTCCAACATTACAGTTGTGCCATTTGACTCCATTGCTGCTGTAAAACAGAATTGTAGAGTTGGAAAAGACCCCACAGGTCATCCAGTCCAATCTTCTGCCATGCAGGAAGAGACATCATCTGCTTTGGTTAGACCACACCTGGAATATTGTGTCCAATTCTGGGCACCACAATTCAAGAGAGATATTGACAAGCTGGAATGTGTCCAGAGGAGGGCGACTAAAATGATCAAGGGTCTGGCAAACAAGCCCTATGAGGAGCGGCTTAAGGAGCTGGGCATGTTTAGCCTGAAGAAGAGAAGGCTGAGAGGAGATATGATAGCCATGTATAAATATGTGAGAGGAAGCCACAGGGAGGAGGGAGCAAGCTTGTTTTCTGTTTCCCTGGAGACTAGGGCGCGGAACAATGGCTTCAAACTACAAGAAAGGAGATTCCATCTGGACATGAGGAAGAACTTCCTGACTGTGAGAGCCGTTCAGCAGTGGAACTCTCTGCCCCAGGGTGTGGTGGAGGCTCCTTCTTTGGAAGCTTTTAAACAGAGGCTGGATGGCCATCTGTCAGGGGTGATTTGAATGCAATATTCCTGCTTCTTGGCAGGGGGTTGGACTGGATGGCCCATGAGGTCTCTTCCAACTCTTGGATTCTATGATTCTATGATACAAGCCCTCCCAACAGATGGCCACCCAGCCATAGATATGATGAAGAGACATATGTGTGTGTGTGACTGAGATGATTAACATATATCATGGCATCTTAAGAGTTGGAAGAGACCCCAAGGGCCACCTAGTCCAACTCCATTTCCGCCAGGCAGGATGACACTATCAAAGCCCTCCCAACAAATAGCCATCCAGCTATAGATATGACAGATATGAATGTTTTCAAACATTTGTGCCCTGTCCTTCTCAGTCCCCGAGGGGGGACTCACGGTGGCTTACAATCATCAGCAATTCAATGCCAACACATACACCATAACAATATAACACAGATTCAACATTAATTAAAACATTAAATTATAAAACAGCCATTTATTTTAATAGCTGGAAGAGACCGCAAGGGCCATCCAGTCCAACCCCCTTCTGCCCTAAAGCCATCAGTCAAACATTCCCAACAGATGGCCATCCAGCCTCTGCTTAAAAGCCTCCAGAGTCAGTGACAAGAATGACAGTGCCCCAATGGTATGCAAAGGAAGCTGGGAAGTTAATCCACCAAGGGTATGAAGTTTTATGACAAAAAGAATTAGATTTTTTTTATTATGAAGAGGTAGAAGGCATTCATTAGGGCTTTCTATTTCCCAACTTTTCTATCTCCTTTTTAAAGAACAATGTACACCTGTTTTTCAATCCTTCAGTTTTAAATTAGAGTTCAGCACCTTGGAGAGATCCCTTTAAAAGTTCATACTAAAATCGATAAGGATATTCAACATCCCTCTTGACACCAGCAGCCTGCTACATGCACAATCCATTTTCCTTTGGTTCTGCACACAAACATGCATACTGACACGCATATCTTGGCCCCATAGCAGCCATCTCACTCGGCAGAAAGGCTCCATGCCAGTTTAATTAGAAGATGGGAGATGGTGAAACCTGAGATCCATCCATCCTCCCTGAATACCTACCTTGAGGGGTTCAATGGGAGGACATCTGGGCTATCTATGGCAGTGGGATCTTGGATAAAGGGAAAAGGGTAGAGACTGAGAGACATACCCAAAACCTTATTCTATCCCATAAAATATGTTTAAGATTGTTTTAAAAGTATGGCTATGGTTGCATACAGGTGAAGGGCATAGTCAGGGTTTGCTGGAAGAAACCACAGTGCCATCCATGCCTAAAATGAGCTATCTCACTGGCCACTATAACGTACTACAAAACTAAATCAAAAGCAAACACACTAACGTAACGTATCATGCACACACTAACCTAAATCGAATTCCCAAAGCCCCCAAACCTTTCCAGACTTGGAAACCAACAAAAGCACCCAAAAACTATCTAAGTAGAACCCCACCAATTAAAAATCCACCTCAAAACCTGGTCCTAGTGTTGCCAGAAAGTGACGGTGTGCCCTGCCAACAACCATCCACCTCTGATCCTTTTCACAAAAGTAAACAATCAAGATGCTTCTGACTACAGCTCCGATCTGACTACAACTTCTATCATCCTCAGTCATGCTAGAGAGGCCAGTTTATTGGAGGCTTGTTCTAAAGAGACTGTCTTTTGCAATTGAAAAATGCAAGAAATGCAAGACACTGCTAGGTGCCATCTTCCATAAAGGAGACAGTATTATGCTCTATTTAAAGTGCTGCTTTGCCACAAAATACCATTTACCTGCCCACCAAAGGTGAAATCCCCACAAGAGCAGCAACCCATCTCTCAAACTGGCTCCAGTCCAAGCAGCATTGCAGTAAGGACCAAAAATACATTTTGCAGCAAATACCAAAAACACAGTGCAAACCAGGCATGGGAAAACATCAGCCCTCCAGGTGTACCGGCTGTAAGGAATTGTAAGATCTGAAGTCCAAACCACCTGGAGGGCCCAAGTTTGCCCATGTCTAGAAACATATTGACTTCCCAAACTCAAGAGTGTATATAAATTATGCTACACCATATATACATTATGCAAATCTGGCACTGCTTTCAGTGGCTATGACTCAATGCTATGGAACCCTTGGAACTGTAGTTTTACAAGACCTTTAGCATTCTCTGCCAAGGAATTCCAGTGCCTTGCTGGGCAACAAATCCCAGAAGTCCGTATCTTCATGGTTGCATCAAAGAGGTGTTGCAACCAGGTGTAATCCAAGCAAGTAACCAGCCAAACCTGATTTTCCCTCTTTTGCACAACTGTAGAAAAGACACAAAAGCCCTTTTCCAGCCTTCATTCTGACAATTCATCCTTGTCTTAAGGAGTTAAGAATCCAGCAGGTGACATTCTGCTTTGGCAATTGCTTTTAAAATGTCCGAAGGTGCATCTACATTGTAAAATGAATGCAGTTTGACCCCACTTGAACCATCATGGCTCTGTGCTATGGAATCCCAGGAGTTTGGTGTGACACCCACTCTCTTTGGCAAGGAAAGTTAAAGGTCTTGACAAACTACAACTCCCATTTAGAATGGATGTCAAACTGCATAAATTCTGCAGTGTAGATTCACCCCCAGTTCCTTTATCCTTCTCTGTCCTTAGCTTGCTTAAACTGCTACAAACTTGAGTTTCTAATCAAAAAAGCCATGACTCGAGTGGGGGAACTATAAGCTCATCCATCCCATAGAATCACAAAATTTAGCCCTTGTTCTAGTTTTGCCTGCAGTTAACACGGACCTGTTCCTAGTACTAACTACTCATAACAGCCCTGCAAACACAAACCCACACACAAACCCAGTTTCTACTTCGCCACATAACAAACAGAAAGTAATGTTCTCTCTAAGGCACTATCTACACTGCCATATAAAATCCATATTATCTGCTTTGAACTGGATTATATGGCAGTGTAGATGGGGCCTGAGAAAAAGTTACCCAGGACCTAAGGACCAGTTTTATTTTCTTACTCAAAACACCAAAGTGCTTAAGCTATAAATGCCCTCAGTCCTGAATTTTTTTTAATTTGTCCCTATTAAAATGAAGTCCCCAAATCAGTTGTTGAATTGTAAGCAATATACAAAAATCCCATTGGTTCATTGGGTTTGCTGTAGTTGGAACTAGAAATAAAACTTACGTAGGTTAGACTGGGTAGAACATCCTTAAGGACACCAGATCCTGCCTGATCTTAGAAGCTAAGCAGGGTCAGCCCTGGTTAGTACTTGGATGGGAGACCACAAATGAACCCCAGGGGATTTCTGTAATGTTCCCAAGGAAGGAACTGGCAAAACCCCATTGAACATGCCTTGACTAAGAATATCCTATACAATTCATGGGGTTTCCCTAAACCAATAAGATTTGAATTATAGATTCACAGTACACAATGTCAAATCAATGCACTTTAGTACCAATTAGACTGCCATGACGCAATGCTATGGAATCATGGGAGTTATAGTTTGGCAGGCCTTTAGCCTTCTCTGCCTGAATGCTGGGTTCTCATCAAACTACAACTCCCAAAACTCCATAGCACAAAGCTGCAGCCAATAAGTTTGATAGTATAGATCAGACATGGGCAAACTTGGGTCCTCCAGGTGTTTTGGACTTCAGCTCCCACAATTCCTAACAGCCTCAGGCCCTTCCTTTTCTGCTTTGGGAAGAGGACACTGTCTACAACAGGCACGGGCAAACTTGGGCCCTCCAAGTGCTTTGGACTTCAGCTCCCACAATTCCTAACAGCTGGTAGGCCAGTAGGAATTGTGGGAGTTGAAGTCCAAAACACCTGGAGGGTCCAAGTTTGCCCATGCCTGGTATAGATGCACCCCTAATGCAACACCCAAAGCCTTTTTTTTATTACATGTGAAATGGTTGAATACTTATCAAACAATTTGTAGGGAGGATAAAGGCAATCCACTCAAATTTGCTGATGGCTTTACTATACTTTTCCGCCTTTGCAAATCTTGGGGGAAAGTTTCCTGGAGAAGTACGACAGTAAAAATAACAATCGCACGGACCCAAGTGACAGTGGAATGATCTTTTTTGCATGTGCCATCCTGTCTTTCCATAAGGCTACTATGTGTGGAAACGCAACAGTTCTGCCTCTTTTCTTCACTTAACACCTTTTTAAAAATAACCTGGTATTATATCCTCAGAAACAGCTCGTTCTTCTCGGCTCTCCTTTCATACCAAAAATAGGCAAGTTTTTTGGAATCTGATCTGAAAACTCTGTCAATTTCCACGATCTCAGCGCTCTTCAGTTTTGCTACAACTCTCATTACACTATGTAACATGAGTTTTTGTTCCTGGGTTATAAATGTCCTTTCCTAATTGGTTTTGGATCCCCCAGAATTGGTAATACCACTGCAACACATTGGA